AGAGAATTCTGAAAGCAAAACTCAAATCTTATTTTTTTTTAAAAAAAATGTAAATGGAAACATAAAAAATCCAAAACACTAATTCCTGATTAGCATAACAAAACTTGCAACATATGATGCACTCCAAAGATTCTACAATAATTATGAATCCTATTACCTCAAACCTCCCTCCCTTGGTAATTTCATAGGAGTCCCCATCAAAAAAGTCAACATGTCACAATTCAGTAGCCTTGACCTCCCATTTATCAATACAAAGGAATGCAGTTGCTTCTCTTCCCTCCTCCTCAGTTTTGACTGTGATATTATCAGCTGTAGGCTGGGATTCTCAGCTTAGAGATACAGAAAGAAAATCCAGTACATGGTATCTTTCAATTCAGAAGTTGATAATTTGTATTTCAAAAGATGTTGCTAGCCATTAGAGCAGATGGGAGTTGGTCCATCAACATCTAGAATGCTGCATGTTACCTATCCTTAACTGCAATATAGAAAGGTTAATTTGCTTATAAAAACAAACTCTTATTTAAAAAGTAGTAGGACATCACCTCATAAACAATTCCATGTAATAAGGTTTTGCTGGTAGACACACATTTCAAATCAGCCCAAGCCTACCCAAGCCTTAATTCCCCCCCAACCCATCCTATGAGCTGAATTAAAATAAACTTTTGCAATCACCATTCTGAAGAATGCTGGTCTCCTATATTGGCAGCCATCATCTAATTTGTAGAACAGGCAACTGTAGATATCAAATGGCTGCAAATCCACAGCCTGGCAATGTCTCTTGACACAAATATCTTTTCTTCTCTCTTCTTCCACAAGTAGAGGCCAAACAAAGGAAGTTAACCAGGGAACAGGCACATCTCAAGCTCGTGGATTTAGCACTCTCAGATAAACTTCCTGATGCCCCTTTTCACCACAGGGCAAGCAAGAGCTCAGGAGCCTCGGGAATTTAAGATTTCACAACCAGTAGGCAACACTAGTCAAGAGATCCCTGCTCAAGCTTCTTCCAACAAAGCGAGATGCTATGTAGTCCTATCACCCCACGTTCCTTTCTGGGGCCTTATATTCTTTTCGCCCCCCCCCCCCCCTTTAACTATATCACACGTGAGGCCCTTCTGTAGTGTGACATACTCTCCCTTTCTTCGGTTGCACTAAAGTCTAAGGTCCCCCACCCTCGGGCACAAAAACTTCACCCACAACTCTCTTCCTTGGCAGCGGAGCCCCGGCCCACCCTTCCCTGCCTTCCCCTCTCAGCACCCCGAAAAAGATTCCCACCAAAAATTACTCGGGTCCGCCGCTCGCTCGCTCGCTGCCTGCCTACCACAGGCACACTTGCACAGGCTGCCCCCAGCCTTGCCCCGGGTTCCCCCGAGCGGCACTTACTCCGGGCCGTCTCGCTGCCCTCGCCCACCCACTCCCGACTTCTTCCTCCTGCCCTCAGCCTAACGGAAGGAGCAGCGCGCCACCCGCTCAGCCCCAACCGCGTCGCCACCCGTGGCGAAAGGAGGCCACTTTCTGGCGCCACAGTCCGAAGCAGGCCGCGAGTTTCGTCGGCTCAAGTACGGAGGAGAGGAGCCCTATCGCATCCCAAAATGGCGCCCGCTGACTCTTCCCTTCCTCTACCCGTCTCGGCTGCCAGACTCCTTCCTTCCGGTTGCCCCGAAGGAAGCGGTGCGCGCGAAGGCGGGGAAAGAGAGCACGTCGACGTGCGTGGTGGCGTCACGCGAGCGACGTTACCGCGGAGCTTCGTCACGTGGTTTGTTTTATAGGCCGGGAGGTCTGCCTTCCGCTCGAGAGGCGTAGGATTCCAACTTCCATCGCCCTGCAGGTTTAATTAACCTCAACTTGAGGGGATCCACACAGGATGTTATCCCAGGACATGGGAGACGCAGGTTGTAACCTGCATCCAGCTCGGTGTCTTCGGACTGTTGATTTTCTTTCATCCTAACCTACTTTACGGAGTTGTGAGGAGACAAAAGTGGGGAAGGGGACTCAAGAGACCCTGCTTGGAAGATCCAGAGGAAAGACAGAACGCACATGACATAAAGAAGGAAAGTTTCTCTCCCCCTCTCTTTTACCTGCAAAAGAACTTCAGTAGCTGGGCAAAAGAGAATTTGGACAGCTGGGCTTGTTTTTCCATTAATACGAAGATAATTTTTTGGTTTGTACAGTCTGTCAGGCAAGGATGAAAGATAGTTGCAGTATCGCAGATCCCATTTCCTAGATATAAAGAGAACTCTGCCCTTATGGAAAATAATTCCCCTTACCTCCCCCCCCCTTTTTTTTGCCTTTTACAATTTTCCCACCCAAAAAAGTACAGTCACTTCATAGCATGACCAACTTGTCCCGGGGAGCTTGGTCAGAGCACTGAACAACTGATGTGTGTGAACAGTGTTCACAACTGACGTGTGCGAACCAGCATCTGTACCATCCACCAGCCTCTGGATTAATCTGCAGCACCCCAATGCTTCATCTATCTGGAATCTGGACTAACCCGTTTACTGCAGGGATCGAAAAGGTCACTCCGTATATTGATCAAATGAACCAGTTATAACTATACCTTTGTGTGCATTTGTTTTAACTATACCTTTCTGTGCATTTGTTTTAACTGGAAACCATTCTTGGAGCAAAAGTTGGCTGAACTGTGGGATTTAAATGTAATGCAGGAAATGCTTCAGTATGGCTGCCCAGTGCTGCTCACCTGAGTCTTCTGCTGTTCCTTGCAATGGCCACCTACTCATCATCCTGTGTACTTGCCTACTTTCTTCCTCTAGCAAGTGATCTAAATCAGGTTCAAAGAAAGTAGACAATGGTGAAATGGATGGGCTTCCTGAGGAGATTTTACTTTAGCCCCCATCATACTGGTCTCCTCTAAACCCATCATGGTCAGGATTGGCATTAGATTTTGGTATCCTTGGACGCTTGTCCCAGCATTCTGGCAGGGTTAATTTCCCCTTGCTCATTCCTGTACCATTTAAAAATATCTGATCTGGCACTCCAACCTACCCTCACCCCATCTCCACCTTCAAGGTCCTAAACCTAACTGTGCCCTGAGGCTGCAATATTTCTTGGCTGGCAGGCTTTTTAATGTCTTTTTTTAAGATGACTTCACTTTTAAACAAAAAGAGAGTGGGCATGGTAGTGCAAAGTGAAGCACCAGCCTCCAGAATCTTTTTATGACCCAGAGTTCCTTGAATTCCATATAAAAGGGCTACAAAAATCTGAATGACCACCAGAAGACAGTGAAGAGATACAGAATCCGAGCTGCCAAGAACTGGTCTTTCTACTACATAGGCAAAGTGGCTGCAGCTCAGTGCTTCCCATTCCAGAAAAAAGACAAAAGGAAAAGTGGGATGGAGGAGGTTTGACAGTGAATTACCCTGAGGAGGGGGCTATAGTGAGAGTGGCAGGGAACAACATCACCAGGTTGCTTTCCAGTTTTCTCAACCACTGTGGTAGTCATTTTGTGAATGAGCAACCCCTTATGAGAGCCCTTTTCTTTATTTACTCTGAACATATCAAATGGGGTCCCAGTTGGTTGAGATAACCCGTTCAACAGCATTGTAGGAACAGGCGACTTGACTTAACTGCTCAATGCTCGTTGGGGGCACTGTCACTGTAATCAGATAAACTTGCCATTTGCTGTAGCAGAAGAGGGCCCAGAGGGGACTTTGCCAGGGGCTCTTCAAACCTGGAAGAAGCCTTGTTTATGCTTCTTATATTGGATAAATTCTAAATGAAATCAGAAGAGGAAAGGAAAGAAAGTCATTTGTGTCTGGGTAAATCAATGTCCTCCAGACATTTTAAAACTAAATGGGAATGAAATTTGAGAGGACTGCACACATGAGTAGAAGGACTAAATCCTGGATTTCCAAATGCAGTGGCTGAGATGACACAATGCCACATACATTCTCTCCACTGGGAAAAAAGGAACTATTATCACAGCAGGTGCAATGGTAAGAAAGTACATCTTCATACTATATTTAGCCCAACTGAATCACTGGAAGAGAAGAGAGAGAAAAGTAGCTGGCACCAAGATGGTCAACAGTTAAAAAACAGTTGTAGATATAATAATGCTATGAAGATCTTGATCAAGAGACAGAATAGTGGGTATTTTTCCAGTAGCAACTTGGGATTGCACAATTCAGATCCTTGATTTCTGAATCTAATCTGAACTATGTGTGTTTTGCATTTACAATACATTGCGTGTTTTGATAATTCCTTTTAAAAGTGACCCTGGATGGTGAATGCAGACAAAAATGGAAATCAGGGGCTAATCAGAAGAAGGGTGTGTTTGTGTACTCAGAACTCCTTTTCAGATTTGTAGAATTATAAAGTAACAACATACACCTTCTCTGAAACTTCATATCATACAGATTGAGCATGTTCAATGTCAGTACAAAACTGGTGAAGGAACATTGCAGTATTAATGCTCTAGTTTTTGACGCTAAGACTTGAATTACCCAATCCTGCTATTATTTGAGTGATAGGTGCCGTCAAGTCAGTGTCAACTCTTACGACCATAGATTTTTTCCCAGGACAATCTGTCCCCAACCTGGTCCTTCAAGTCTTCCAAGGGTAAACCCATTGCTACTATAATTGAGTCCATCCACATTGCTGCTGGTCATCCTTTTCCCTTTCCTTCCATCTTTCCCAGCATATCACTTTATATTGTCTATCCATGTAGGTTTTTTTCTTTATGAAATACACAAGTGATGTACCATTACCTTCTCCTGCGCATTATGAAATGATACCTTTGCCTTTGTCACTAACATGAGCAATCTGTCCCCAGCATCTTCCTATATTGCTGTTGTCCAATATACAGTAGGTGCCTGCTTGGTTTAGTTGGATGGCTGGGATGACCTTCACGCCTTGGGTGACCTTGCTGAGAATATACACTCTTGGCATACATTCCCAACATTCTGCAGTCATCCCACTACGATGTAAATGAAATATGTAAAAATACCCCATGACTGCATATTCTCTCACACACTTGCATGTGTGCAAAATCAAAGATGAACACCATGTAAAATAAAGTTTCCCTTTTATTTTAAACTGGGCAAGTTCCAAATGCTTGTTAGTGTTGGGGATTCTAATTAGGAGCAAGGAGGCTGATAGGGAGCAAGGGTAGCTCTGGGCCCCTAATGGACTCCCCTATTCCCTCAAATCTCTTGGTGGGACCCAGTAGTGTCCTCCACTTTTCTGGCCTGCCCACTGTCAGAGCAGGGAGCAGAGATGAGTCTCTAGCTGGATAGCTTTTGCTGTTTTGTCTCCATTGTCCATATACTCTTTCAGTCTATCTATCATTTCTGCACTTGTGCAGTTTTTAAAAATTCATTGGTGCTTGCACACATTTTTTTGAATTTAAACTTCCATTCGTTACTTCTATTTTGAATTTTGTTCTGTTACAGTTATTTTCTGTCATTTACCTTTCACATGGCTCACACTAGTTCTGTCTCTCAACCATGTCATGTCTCTATTTACATTCTTTTTTCTGATCCCCTGTCCTTAGCTTATTTGCACTCCTCACCCCTGCCACTGAATGTCTCCCGGCCTAAGGGATATTCTCTTTCTCCCTCCCCCTTTCCTTTCCTTTCTTAGAGAAGGTAGGCTAATGAAGAGATTCAAGTGAAGGAGCAGGGGGCACCTGGTGAAAAAGGCTCACTTAAGTTGTATTCTAGTAAGTGGTTGGGTTGGGGTCTCTCTGTGTTAGTTGGGTGGTATGGATCTGGGTTGGGGTCTTCTGGGCTGCATCTAGGACAGGAATCCGGTCTGTCAAGGGACGTCCACTTCTTCGCTAGCACCGACATAAGACGCTCGCATGCTGGGAGAATACTATGAGAGGATAGAAAGAGAGCAGCAGGAAAGTTAATAACCAAGCAATGTTATAACAGCAATTAGAATATTCTTGTTCTGCCTTTCCAACCTGTCACTTTCCAGATGAGTTGGGACTGCAGTTTCCAAATCTCCGGCCAACATGCTGGGTGAGAATTCTGGTAGTTGTATTTGTAGCATGTCAGGGAGTGGGGGGTACCAAGTTGGGAAAAGCAGTTCTGTTTCACTCTTTGTGCACTCAAAGTGCACTCTGAGCTAAGTAACACTTGGGGAAAGAGTAAAAGAAGAGGCTTTATAGAAGTCCTGCTTCAGATATCAGTTAGATGTGCTTCCAGAGGACCACAACTGTGTAGATCCTTTCTCTTTTGCTCACTTGGCACCAACTATAGAGTATAAGTTTTCTTCAATTCAGTCTTCAGAATGGCATTCACTTTCTACGCTTCCTTTAAAATCTCAGCTTTCCTCACAATTGGAAGGTATTCTTATCCTTTTAAATGTTTGGTTTGAAAAATGACAGTGAAACAAGCAACTGAAATATCATCCTCTGCCTTTTGTCCCTGTGCCTGTATTATTTTTGGGCAACATTTATTTTTTTATTTGATTTGTATGGCCGCCCATCTCACCTAAGTGAAATGGATGAAATTCTGGTCAACTGGCCATCCTGATTCTGCTCTTGATTCTTAAGCAGGTCTGCATTGTTCACAAGGGCAAAAACACTGTCAGAATTCTAAACTTCCAGGGTGCAGAAAGCACACTGTTGGAATTTATAACCGTTTACAGTAGCCTTTCCCATATGGTGCTTTTCAAAGGCGTTAGACTGCAACTCCCATTATCCACAGTCAGTTTGGCCAATGCTAGCTGCTGGGGATTATTGAAATTGTTGGCCACCATGGCTGTGGGTCATTGGGGTGAAGGAAACTGGTCTAATAAAAAAAGCTTTCAGTAGTTTGCTGGCTTCTATATTAGTTGTCTCAGTATTTGCGTATAAAGGTCAGAATTTTTTAAATTAAAATCAGCAGCACTGTTTATCTTAGCCTGAATGCAGTATGTCTCACATTTTTGCATTAAATGGTGAAGTTGCTGAACTCAGATCTAGCACACCTGTCATACAGTGCCACACAGCAGAGTAAGGCTTATGTATGTGTGTGTGTGTGTGTGTACCTGTTCCATATGGGCAGCTTTATTAAACCAAGAAAACCAGGATATGCAGTGGCAGAGCTGTGTGCCTCTGTCAGCCATAAGAAATGTTCTGACAACTACAAGGTGTGCTTCTTCATTGTACACTAAAGCAGAAGGCTCCAACCCCCCCCTTCTTTTATGGCCCCTGGAGATACCCCCAAATCACCACTATCCTCCCTCCCAAAATAAAGATTTAAATAGATACTGTATGTGATGTCTCAGGCTAAATACACCTATGTTACTAAATTAACAAAATATGCAAGAAATCCTAAAAACTTTGGCCTTCTACCTCTGGTGTCAGCGGTACCTGCAAACCCCCTCCAGAACCCCCTCCCCAAACCAAGAAAGCTTGGAAGAAGTGCAACCTGTGGCTGGAAAAAGCTTGCCTTCCCCCACATTAAAGAACTGATTCAGCCCATTTTGGCCAAAGGAGTGAAAAGAATCCTTTCATTATTAGTTATTTTGCTACCTAGGTTCATTGTTAAGTTAAGGTGGATTATTATTATTTTGACAATCCTACACATCAGACATATATTCACCAGGTTTTGAATCTGATCCCCTGCAACTCAACGGGGATCACAAAAGCAAAGCAATTTATTGTGTAGCTGCTCTGTCATAGCCCACAGCTGGTGTGCTGCATTTGGTTGCCGCATATGGATGAGTCCATACCTCTGACTTACCGAAGGGGGTGGGGAATGACGGTCAATGAGGGGGATGCTCTCAAATTGAGGACTGCCACTGTACGAAGCGCTTTGACTCCTGCAAGTGACACCAAGAAAGATGCTGATAATGAATCCCTCCCTCTCCAAACACTATCTCAGCTCTGGAAAGTCAGTCCATTGCCAGACCTTTCCAGAAATACTAGAAACCTCTGCTGTGTTGACATTTGCAGCTTTCTGGAGGACCCCTACAGAAATTTCCATGTGGCAATTGATATGAAGGTTCTTGGTTTATTTCAATCTCATGACAATAAACCATAGCCTGCATTATGGATCCTAAATTCATCAAGGCCTACTTGATCAGCTGACTTAGCTTATGGATCCTCTTTATTTGGAGGAGTAGATACTTGCCCCATCTCACCATAGTCTTGATATACTGTATGACATGAGAACTCCAAGTAGAGAGCATTTTTGTATAATCCTTCTTTTTGAAGAAAAAAAAGAAGATCAAAGATATCAAGACTTGCATATTTATCTCTTTTTGGAGAGTATATCTATGTAGGAAGGGGCAATACCTGTTTCTCCACTATATAAATAGAGGTTGCAGCCCAAATAAGTTAATTGGCTTGGCTTAATTTTTCTGAATATGCATTTGATTTGAATTGTACACCAGAAGATGAGGCATGAAAACCAGAGTGAAAAGTCTGAGGATTGAGGAGAATAGAATAAAATAATGGCAATCAATTTTGCCTATTACAGAAATCAATGTAGAAAACCTAGAGTAAGAAAATGATCAGTCATTGGGAACATTGTATTACAGGTAGCGAAAGGGCTACAGTGGTATTTCCAGAAGAGCATTTTGATAAATGCATTGTCTTGGGGAAGGTGTGCTTGAACCAGGAATGGAAAGTGATACAAACCAGTGGTTGGTTCTCCATTATGGGAACAAGGTGGAAGACACCCAAAAAAACCAGACAGATGAAGAAAACAAAAGGATGAATTATTCCATCTCTGTGGGAAACTGCTTTAATGGGGTCAGTACTGGTGGTAGTGAAAGAAATTTAAAATGGTGCTTAATGGATACCAGCAAAGTGAAACAGACAGCATATGTAAGCAGTAAAGCCTCCTTTGTGGAGGTGTTTAAACAGAGGCTGGATGGTACAGTAGATCCTATATTGCTCAGGGAGTCAGACTACATGATCTCCAAGGCCCATTCAAATCCTTATATTCTATGAAAGTAAGGATAAGAAGAATTAAGTATGTTGCCTAGATGTTTCTGAAGGAAGCAGGGGATGATAGCGTAATATATCAAATAAACATTCCTTCTCCTACTTTGCTGATCTAGACAGTGGGAAATAGTCAGGTTTTCCTCCTGCAACCAAAATCAACTATTTCTCTCCATTCCTTAAACTTCAAAATTGCTTCACAATGTTCACCATCGTACCTGCCCTTTTCTTTGATTAGAAAACCCAGCTAAGGTGGTCTTTTTTTCTCCTGAAATTTCAGATAGCTAAAGCAGCACTGGGGAAGGAGAACGAATGGGATGAGGAAAATGGCAGGGAAGGAGGCAAGGGGTGGGAGGAGGGAGAGGAAGGGAGCTGGAAAAGGTAGAGGGAACAGTCGGTCCCTGATTTGGGGGAGTCTGTCCTCCCTTCCCCCTCCCCCTCACGCACTCAGATCTGGGCCACTGTGGGCCACTCCAAGCCCCTCCCGCCTTGCAGGGGGTATTATGACCAAGCGCGTGGGGAGGGGGTTGGGAGGTGGGGGGTGGGGGTTACTCACATGTACTGTGAGAGGGGGGCGTTGGAAATGGGGGGGGCTGAAAGGCGCAGGCTGCCCCGGCTGCCCCCGCTTGGACAGTGGCCAAAGGAGCTGGGCAGGCTGGGCCCAGCCCCCCCTGCGCGCACTGTCGGCGGTCTACGTGCCTGGGGCGTGAAAGGGTCATCATCCTCCATGTCGTCATAGTCCGAGTCCCTACACAGGAATTCAGGAGAAAAGAAGGGAAAAAAAAAAGGAATAAAGGAGTGAACAACAAGGAAAGAGCTGCCTAGTCTAATGACTATGAAGAAGCCCATGGTTATAGGGTATCTGTCCAGAAAACAAGAGTTTGCTCCAAACCTAGCATCTAGGTTTTCCTTACTTTTCTTGCATTAAGCTGCCGCCCCTTTAGTGTGTAACTCAGAACAGGAAGACAAGACAGTCTGGACCAAGCTTCTGATCTAGTTCACAATTCTACATTTGCCTTCTCAAATCCGACATGCTCCAGTTTTGTTGGGACTTCCAATCCCAGAATTCTCAACATACTTTTTGTTTAGGGACGTGAAGTGGGCTGATCAAAGTTAATGAACATAAAACGTCTTACTCTGAATCAGATCATCTTGCTTTGTATTGTCTGTACCAGGGAAGTGCAACATTTTGGGCCTACGAGTGGCATGCTGAGGATGCACTCCAAAAAATAGGCAGGGTTTGGACAAAAACAAGATTTTATTCGTTTACCATTTAAAATTAAGTTAAATTTTACATTTACGCTCATTAACTTTAATTAAATACAACTAGTATGATAACTGAACACCTATTTAATAGTTCCTTCCTCTGATCATATTAAAAGCTATAATTTGGTGACTACTTTTGGACAGGCTTGGGCATTTATATGCACCTTGAGGGCTATGGTTATCCACCTCTCATCTGCAGCAACCATCTCCCAAAGTAGTTGAGCAGGATTTTTTTTTTTTTTGCCTAATCTGGAGGTGATGAGGATTCTGCATGCATACAACTGATTGATGCTCAGGATTCTCATATACTGGATGTTAACACTCACCTGTTCTGGAACCTCTTCCAGGCCCGGGGCAGACTACAGACAGCTGTGGTGAAGGAAAGGGCAGAGAGGAAGGAGAAGAGGAGGAGGAAAAGCAACCCCTCCATGCCATCATAGCATAGCCCTTTCAGGCCATCCACATAGTCCTAGAAGACAGAGAAAGTGACACAGAGATAGCTTCCAGATGGAAGTTTAAAGTCCATTGGCAATGGTTCACTGTTATGGTAATTTGACAGGGTATCCAGATGAGACATCATCATTTTTTAGTCATCAACCCATCCTATCTCTTTCATTGCCTTTTTTTTTTTTTCTTTTAATGGGAATTATTCAGAGTCAGAAATACCTGGATGCAGGTCTGTAAAGTTATGGGTATGCCATAGCTCTTGACTCCCCTAGATTTGGGGAAGAGGCTTTGATATTTCGACTGATACTTGTAATCCCTCCACTCTCTTGAATACCATGCTTGTTGTGAACATGTGTACAGATGCTTCAAATCTGTGCGTGCAAACTGGTTGTAAAATTACAGAATGCTGTAAGTGTGCCATGTTGAAGATTGCTCCATTTGGCTTTGAATGGAAAATTGTTCATATGAAAAGGAACATACTTCAGTGATGTATAGAGTGGGTCTATACTCTCTGCACATGGGCAAAGAACTTGGGTTCTCCACATGCTCTAACTACAGGTTCCACAATTCATTGCTGTTGGCCTGGGGACAGGAACCCACACCCTCCCAATAGTGTTGAAAGCATCCCCATTCAGCTTAGGACAATGGTGAAGGATCCTGGGAGATGCTGTTAGCAACATCTGGAAGACTACTGTTTTCTACCCTTGCCCAAGCCTGGGCATGTTGGTGGTGATGGAAATGGAAATCCAAAATATTTGGAGAGCACCAAGTTATTGACTCTTGTTCTAGATCAGGGTTTCTCAACCTTGGCAACTTTAAGACATGTGGGCTTCAACTGCCAGAATTTGCTGGCTGGGGAATTCTGGCAGTTGAAGCCCACATGTCTTAAAGTTGCCAAGGTTGAGAAACCCTGATCTAGATGATGATACAGTAATATTCATGCATACCCATTGTATCATAAGGGAAAGGTCAGGATCTTAAAATGTATCAGGAAATATTAAGAAACATAAGTCAGAATGGCTGGAGAGGGTCCATTAAATGACAAACAAGAGTAGCAGAGGTACCTTGTGAAGTCCCCGGCAGTTGAGGAGAGCTACAAGATGATGGAAATTACTTTCTGTGATGTTCAAAGTACTCTGGATGGATACAATGTTCTTCTGCAGTACACAAATGGTAGGAATGAGAACCCAGTTGCCCTAATTTGCAGCCTTTCCCCCTCCCTCCGGCTAGCCCACCATGACTTTTTTCAGTCCAAGAGAATTGTGAGTTGATGCACACCCAACCTCCCTTTCTCTCTGAGCATTGCCACTGACCTCCGCTGCTGGGAAGTGGGGGATGGCTTCTCTCTCCAATCCGTATAGCTGAGAATGTATGTTGGATAATGCCCTCTGACATACTGTGAGTCTCTGTAGAGTTGGCAGGAAAGGAATGGGAGAAAAACACAAAGTCTTTGGGGTTAGGAAACTTACAAACCCCAACAGAAGCCAGTCCAAGGTTACAGACATAACTATTTATTCTGTGATTTTACAACTTGCCAAGATAACACCCTCGGTGAGGTGCATAAGACAGGCAAAGGATTGGGATGCTGAGAATACCAGATTGCATCTATAACAAGAAACGCCATATTTTTAGAAAAGTTCAAATGTTAGGAAAGTAGGGTTGAAAATATATAGGCAAGGCTTAGAGGAATAGCAGTGATTGGATTTAGTTTTGCATGGCTGAGAATGCAGGACACCATCCTCAGACTTCTATCACATGCACGTAGGCAACACATCTTTTTAGTGGAAAAGAAGGAATATTTACCTGCTGAAATGGGTTGAAGGTATCTTGGCTGCAGGTTAAGTAGTACTGTAGGATTTCTGCAGGGGTTAAAAGAAAAGAAGAAAGGACATCAAGCCTCTGGGTCCATCTACACACCAGGTCTTTTTAACTCTTTCTTAGATCTCCTGAGTTTGTTTATCTAAAAGGGGCTGTACATGTTGGGGAAAGAAACACACACACACACACACACACACACACACACAGAGAGAAGCAGCACTGAAAAAGAAGATAAGAGACCAGTTACCAAAATAAAGTGTATTAAATAGCTACACCCTGGGAACTGTTGGAAGAAGTCGGAATAACCACCTTTGACCTTGGCCATGTGCTGGTTGAGAATTCTGGAAATTGCAGCCTTGACGCATGTGCGTGGCTGGATTACTACCCCTGCCCCCCAGAGAGACTCCGGCTGTTTGATACCTTCATGACAGGCCAATGTTTTAGCAGGCAAAACAAATCACTTTGCTGTAGGACATTAGCTATGCATCATTTAAGTGTGATGGTTTATTTTTAGTAGCCAAGGTGGTGAGGCTCATGTTATCAAGACTATGGTGTGAAGTGAGGGGAGAGTTACTCCTTTCCCTCCTCATCACAATCAAGGCCAATGTGTTCCCCACATTCCTCCACATTAACTGCTAGCCCTGGAAAATTACAAGTACTCTTCTTATTAAAGCTACTCTGTTCTGAGCTGCCTTTTGAAGTTGGGAAGTTCAAAATAGCTACCTTGGTTTTTTTTATGGAATAGCGGCCTCTTTTGAGTTTACAGGGGTCATCATTAGTATAATGACAGCAGTGTGTGTGTGTGTGTGTATATAAACATATAAAATCAGAACTTTTTCCCCTCCTAAAAAACCAAAGAAGCTTTGTTTGCAAACAGATTTTTTAAAAAATCTAATTGGGGATTTGGGGGAAAAGGAATCATAGGTTATTAGCATAATGTATGCATTATGTCTGCTCAGAAATAGGCTCCCCTGAATCCCTCCCAC